GGATTATTTGCACAGGTAATGCAATCTTCCAGAAAGACCATAGAAATGGCATTCTAAAATTTTCAGTAAAATAAGAGACAATGTTCTGGATGGTGACAACTCCTTAGGATGATGCATATGCTTCAAGGGACAGAGAAAACAAAGTCTGAAAGCAGCAATGAAGAGCATAGAGGAAATTTATACCATCTCCAAGAATATGGCAAGATTATATGATAGGAAAAAAAGTGTCACAACTTGAGAGCAGCAAAGGAAGACATGTACAGATTTCAGTTAGAGAAAGGAGATGAAGTCACTGTCAATGAAGAGGTTAGAACAGAGGGGACTTGGTGGATGGCAATGAATGAATTCCAGAGGGCACAGGGGTTAGAAGAGTCCAGGAGGGATGGTAGATTGGCTCAATGAGATAATGTCACTGCCACATGAGCATGATCCAAGAGAATGATGAATTACTCCTGGGGTTTCCAGTTTCCTTGAACTGTCAGCCTCTCAGTACTGAACTTTTAGTTTGTAGAAATGAGTAAGTAATGTTAAGGCTCATGATAATCATCTTTTTGAGAACATGAGTTCTGGGGGCTACCTTTATGAACTTCTAGGAGTGGCACCATAGCTGGAAAAGGGGCAGATTTTACTGGAGCATGTAGATTTCTTTTAGATGATGCTATTGGGGAAGCACTGGTTACCGAGGATGGAAGGGGTAAGGCAAGCTGGACAGTGTTGGGGACCTTAAAAAGGACTGAAGAGGGGCTGTGATGAGGAAGATCCATAGAGGAGACATGAAGGTTGTTGGGAGTCACCCTGGCTCCAAATACTAACTTCCCCATCCCCCAAGAAAAGCCGTCCAATGGTGAGCCCTGCTGGCTCACATGATCTTGCCATCCAATGGTGAGCCCTGCTGGCTCACATGATCCTTACCCACCAATCAGACTAGCCCTGCTGGCTCACATGATCCTTACCCACCAATCAGAAAGCACCCCAGCCCACTGTCAAACCGGTTTGTTCAACCATTAAACTGTCATAACTGTCAAACCACCCCCGGCTCTATAAATATGCAGAGCTGTTCCTCAATAAATGGGCATTTTCTCCAAAGGCAAGCCTTGATCGTTCTTTCAAAGATACTGTTAGAGATCCCTTGTGGGCCCAAAATGTCTTGGGGTTGTTCTCCCATTATGAGATTCTATTCCTGACCACAGAGATTATTCAGAAGTGGTGGCCAAGGCCAGCACAACATCCTATGATTATAACCTTGAAATTAAGTACATAGTTGAAGGAAGTTCAAGACTGTTCAGAACCTCTAACTCTACCCTCAGGAAGATATGCAATTTCTTGGTCACAGAAAAACTCTATCCCATAGCCCCCAAATATCTCTTCATTACCCAAACTAAGCAATCTGGAGACAACACAGGTTATCCATAAACTAATAATGTTGAATCTATCTTCTATGAGAAAAACTCTGCACGGGTTGGTGARTCTTCTTTCCTTGGCAATTCTTGAACACGATAATGATACAAGGAAACAGAAAAGAGAAGGAAAAAGAAAGAAAACTGACAAATATGAGTATCAATTGTTTTATATACATTTTCCATTAATTTTTCCAAACAACCCTTTGAAATGGTTATTTTATATCTACTACAGATATGAAGGAATAGATGAGCATAGATATTTGAAAATTCTCTTAAGATGTCAGAACGCAGCAGAGCTGAGATAAAAATCAAGAGTTATCTGATCTGAAAACTCTTGCTCTTTTATGGTTGGCACATGTAATATCTGATGAAAAACTCATTTGTTAAATGATGCAGGAATTTTCAGAGRTGAAATGATTAGATTATAGAGCTGGACCCTCACTATTGAATTAATCTATTTGATGGATTAATAATTTGGATGACTACTGGTGGTAGTAGGCAGGTGGAGCATGGCTAGAGGAAGTAGGTCACCTTATAGGATGTGTCCTAGGACTATATGTTGTCCCTGGCTTCTCTCTCTTTCTTGGATTCCTGGCTGACCTCTGGCAAGCCCTTCCACCATGATGTTCTGCCTTACCTCAGACCAGAGCAATGGAGTTGGCCGTCCATGGCCTGAGGCTCTGAAACTGTGAGCCCAAAATAACTTTTCCTCCTCAGTATTATTCTTGTTAGGTATTTTAGTCATAGTGACAAGAAACTGACTACCACACTGGCCAAGCTAACTGGATGTTCCTTTCCCATGTAACCAAGCAATTCACTAAACAGAGTATTTACCCTGGGCCAAATGTTGTACTGGAATCTATGGAGAAAACATAGAACACAGTTTCCGTTCTCTCAGTATGAATGTCTTGTTTGGCAAGACAACCCGTCTGCATAGAGGTACAAAAAAGATGAACCCCAATGGACAAGAATGTAATGATTGTCACTGTTTAAATTTCAACGTATCAAGTTCTATGGTTTCATGGTGCACTGAAGACACCATGGTATAAAGGAGCAGGTATGGGTAAACTTGGTCTAGTTCAAGAAAACATGAGGCAGGGTCAATTTAACAAAGTTAATTGTCTTCTAGTGTTGATTATTTATAAAAAATTGAAAACTTGATAACATTTTGATGCATTTCCTTTTCTTTGTTTTCAGTAGTTAGTGTTTTTCCTTTTATAAAATGAAGGTTTTTATGAGTATATAATTTTGCATTTTTTAAAAATTAAAATGACAATATAAGCAATTTCCCCCCATTACTAGACACACACACACACACACACACACACACACACACACGTAAGGATTGATGAAAGTATAGTAATTCAAAATAGAAGGAACTGAAGTACAGGGGAGAACCTGATCCAGGATGAGGGTGCCACTTTGGGCCAAGTCAGAGCTGGCAAGAATTGGGCTCCAAATGGTCCTGGGGACTGAGGGGTTAACTAGAGGAGTTGGCRGAGGTCATATGCCAGAATGCTGCCTGTCTATCCTCTGGGCAATTCAGGGTTGCCACCTGATCCAAAGGGCTGCTCTGGGGAGCCACGTGAGTGGATGCCAAAGGAAGGTCATTCAAGCATCAGAGAATCCATTTCCAGAAGCAGATTTGTTTACTAACTGGGAAGGCATCCATCGAAACAGAGGGAACAAAAGAGTTTTTCTTTACAAACCAGTCCCTGACCCTTGCCTTTAGCAAGGGTTCCCACTTTTCTTTGGCAGCCTTTATTCTGCTCTATAGCCAAGTACAACTGAGCTGGCAGAGAGCTTACCTTCTCTGGTTGTGCAAAGCTAGAGGCTGAGGTCAGACTTGCCATTGTAGAATAGGAGTTTGGGGACATGCAGATAAAGTAGAGCTTTCATTAAAATTTTAACAAACTTTTATGTTATATATGTGGAAAAGCAATAGCTGGAYTAAAATTTAACATTATGGTACCTGCTTCTTGTCCCTTCTCTTTACAATGCAAAGTCTCTCCTACTAAATAAAAATTAAAATTTGTATAGTTCACTATCAGAGGCTCTTCCTAAAATTGACTAGGTAACTTGTTTTCTGTCAGTGTCGATTGCAACTGCCCACCTTTTGCCCTATGTTTTAGCTAACTGAAATTTTTTAGTGTTTGCTTATTTTGAATGTAAAATTAGCAGCCATCAAAGTTATCATTATTTTTCAGCAATTTACAAATATACAGTATTTATACTGTGTATTTATACTTCAACAATGTTTGCATTTGAATATATAAAGCACATAAAGAAACTGCTACTGCTAGTTGCACCTAGAATGTTCACCTATACTTAAAAGAGAATAGTCAGATGTTTATAAAAAATCAGAATGGTTTACCTTTCTTAAAAAATGATTAAAAGATGGTTTACATGTATGTCATGTGAACAGTGATTGCACACCAGTGTGGAGTGTGAGGAATGCTGAAGTGGTGTTGGGCTCTTTGGCTATTTCTCTAAACCTGAAGAAAACACTAAAGCAAATTTAAATATATGCCTGGAAAGAATTGAGCCAGAAAGTGTGAAGGCTAGTTGCGTCTGAGCCCTAGCCCTGTTTATTTTTCACATGTTAATTTAATACCTCTTGTGTGCCAAAAATTCAGTCAAATACTAAATACACAAATGAGGAAGGGAATACCTCTTGTTCTCAAGGTGCTTATAGTCAGGGGAAATTGAACAGTTTATATAGCTGCTCTAAGCTCTGGTCTCCTGCTCTAAGTCTATGATAAGGAGGTTCATAAAAGTCAAATTAAATAATAGGAACCATTAATATTTCTTGTGCCAGGTGTATCATATATTCATTAGCTCTAGTTGTCCCAACAACCCTAGGGTAGATAGTACAGTCTCYGACTATGACTGGAGGGCCTCTGTTTGAATCCTAGTTGGCTGTATGGCTTTGGCTATGCAACTTAATCTCTCTGTTCTTCAATTTACTATAAATTGTGACAATTATGTAACTTCTTTCACTGAAGATTGTACCTTCTGTAATAGATGTATAGAATTCAGCACAGAAGCTAGCACACAATAAATATGCCACTGAAGTTAACTATTATTAAAGTTCAGTACAATGTACCCCCAAATAAGGGGGTGAGAGAGACTATGTAATTTATACAAGACCACACAATAATAAGTTGTAGAGATGACTCTCAGCCAAAATCAATCTGTTGCCAAAACCTTCATTTCCACCCATCATTTTGGGTCTCTAAAAATATTTTTAGAAATGTAACTGTTGGATAAGTTTGAAGGCTATTCATGGGTGGATCCTCAAGTCCAATTTCTTTACTCTCCATCCACATCCCAGACTATCAAATTGAATCCTTTAGCATGTGGATGTGGCCTGGTGACTGGCAAGGCCAAGTTGGTCCCTGTTCCCCAGCTGTTGGTTCATGGAGAGAAAATAATTCTACCAACTTGAGATCAGGAGTTTGGCTCTCATGGCCGAGCCAGGCTCCCATGTGACTGTRGAGCTGGACCACTCACTGGACCACAAGCATCCTGACCTACTCCCTCRCACTGAGCCAGGCCTAAAAGCTAGTTCACTGCATCTGATTTGCTTGTGTGATTTAAGTTAGTTTGCAGAAATACCCTCTTGTGATGGCGGAGAGGCCGCGAGGACCCGACAGACCACAAGATGGTCAAGAAAAGAGCAAGAGACGGATCCTGAGGTACACCAAGAGGGCGTGGGCTCCTCTAGATGAGCAGCTGTTTCCTGGCTCTGAGGAGGAAAGTCAGAGGGTCACCATACCCCTGCTAGGTGAGAAGGGCACTCAGGGCTATTCGTAAAAGGTGCTTCTGGGGGTGGGAAAGGATGCAGGGCTTTGGGCTGGAACAAGGGCTTGGCTTTGAGGAAACCAGTGTTTCTGGCTTAATGCCAGACCATTCTATGAAATGGACACTCTGGTTTTCCACAGAGATTCAAACCACAGAGACTCTGAACAGAAGTTGACCAACTAAGGAATGAACTCTACTTCCTTTCCATTCCAGCACCCCCTCATCCCAAGTYTCAGGGACTTGAGAGCTAAATGGGATCCAAGTTTGTTTCAGGACATCATTTTATTGAAAGGTTCTTGGGGTCTGGCATGAGACATTAACAATAATGTTAATAATTTGAAGGGTGATAAATAGAAAATACTTCTCCCTCCCCTTCCTGAGATGTTAACTGTTGGATGTTTGTTTTTTTTTCTTTTCCCATCAGCTAATTTATTCTGTCCTTAATGGCACCTTGATTGAAGAACAAACACACCTCTAAGGCCATGGCTTTTGGTTTGGCTGACATCTTGTGAGGAGGATAATTCAGTGCCCCAGTGTTAGGAGAAAATCAAGGGAGATCAGCCCAGGTTAGATAGTAGCCAACCAGAACAGAAATAAATATTTAATAAGAAATGTTGCCTTTATATCCTTTCTTTATGCCTTCTGACTTATCTTTTGAGCCAGTGCTAAAGATCCACCTTAAAGACTGGTGCCTTTTTAACACAGGGTGCCTTTGGCAATCCTGGGATTCTAGTGCAATTTGTCCCTGGAATGAATGCAAATTTCATTTCTAACCTGGCAGAGAACTCCTTGCAAATAAACATCACTGGCTGTCTGCCTTAGGTAAATGTAGTGATTCAATCAGGAGAGGCTCTGTGGTGATTTACACCCCAAAGAGAAAGACAAAACTCTCATATTCTTTTGCACCCTTTCTATTCACACCAGGTAATTTAAAAATTATTCTAGCATCTCTTGCTCTAGTCTGATTTATTTTTCTCTTCTTTAACATTTTCTTTAATTTTTTCCTAAGTTTCAGTCCTTTGGCAAGTTTACACACTCTTCTCAGGAAAGGATGATTATGGAAAACAGGAGGTTGTACCTTCAGGGATAAAAAATGAATATGCTTATAGAAACATGTGACTAAATATGTAGGGAATTGAGCTTTTGAGTGATGACTGGATGATACAGTGGAGTCATTTGAGCTGGTGGTGGTGCTTTAACTAACTGTGCTGTTTCTTTCTCATTTTTAGAAGATTCCAAACAGGAAAGTATCCAGCAGTGGCTAGACTCTGGATTCTTGTAAGTGTTGCTTTGTGTCTTCTATATTTCTCTTGTAAAGATCCATGACAACCATTTGGRTAACCCTGACTGGACAAGGTGGGATGCTCATATTCACTAGGTACTTGAAGGATTATCCTATTATTGCAAAAGATCTATATCAATTTAAAAGTACAAAAGAAAATGCTATTTGAATCCCTGACTGTTCACTGGTTTCCAAAGGTCCTCTTTCCATAAAATCTAACTGCATTCACACACGTCAGTTTAATTAAAAAGCAATTTCATACAGTTTGCTTGCCTACATTGTTTGACTCACAGTACTTTTGTTTTTTTTATAGTGTCTCTGTAAATGAAAACTTTCAGCAAGTCACCGATCATACTGGTAAGACAAGAGAACCCAGAACAGTTGTAGTTTGTGATGCTGACGATGAGACGTATGTGTGAACGTGTCTATGTGAGAATTATCAGAGGTTTTTAGAAATGGAGCAGACCTCAATCCTTCTGTTTGATTAGTAAGACAGACTCAGAAGGCAGAATGGGTAGTTGTCTCCTGAGCACCAGGTTAGGGACTGAAATCGGGGCTCCTGTCCTGTCATCACTTAGACTRTAGCAGGACACCTGCTGGTTTCTATGAAGATGTTTGCAGGGATATAATTGTGGAAATCGTTTGAATTTCCCTTGTATTGTRTTGTACTTTTATTTCTTAATCCAGCCTCTATTTTTGGTCTCAAAATTACACTTACATTTTTTTCTCTCTCATGATACATTTGTTCTAGGGAAGAACAAATGACTAAATCCTAAAGCAAACAGTGCAAGTATTTATGAGGCAAAAAAAAAAAAAAAAAAGTATGACATTTATCTTGCTGAGATTTGATAAGAACATTATAAAAAGAAAAAGAAATTTAATTACAGGTCTCACATATTTCATCTTTCATCCATGAAATTTCATATTTCATAGAATCTGAGATCCCTCAATTACAAAATGTACTTATAATTACCATTCAGATAAATTAAAATGAAAGCCTGTTGGTAAATGAAAGGCATCCTGATTTTGTAGATATTAAAATGTGAAAAATATGTTTTAAAATTGATTCCATGTCATAAAGAATGCATGTGAGGAAAAAAATTGACATAAATTAGAAGTTCAATGATTAGAAGGGAAAATGATCAGTCTAGTAGTAACTAAATTTGCTGGTTTTAATTATCTCACTCACTTTCTCTATGGAGATTTTAAGTGAAGTTTGACCATTGTCTACAAAACAGCTTGTATTTATAATTTTTTTTTACTTAAAAAATTCCTCAGTTTATTATTAAAATTTCCTTCCTCACCAAGTTTTCATTTTTCTTTAATATCAAAGTTCCATGATATCTAAAGTTCCAATAAATCAGATTGAAATACCCCTCTATTCATAATAGCTCAGACTTAAGGGAAAAAAAAATGCAAGAATTTAAGAAATCCAGCTGGGTATTCAATGGCCCTGAGGATGTCTCTTGCCCTGGTGCTGGTGAGAGCCTGGTTCCGGGGTCATCAGTAACTGTGTTAACATTGTCACTTCCCCCAAATTAAAGTCAAATCATGGCCTTGCTTCCTCAGAACCAGCTCAACAGATGACAAAGGCACAGATAGGATAGAACCACCTGGAGGAAAACAGGGCCATCAGCAAGGCTAAGCTCYGAGAGACCCAGCTTAGATTCGGCAGCTCTTTCATCTCCAGCAAGACTTTTAATAATAATCGAATCGCTTCTTACAAGTTTAACTGAGCCTTTCCCTTGACAAGCCCCTTGCTCATCGATCATACATTAAACTCAGTAGCTAGGATGGGAATGTGGCTAGTTCTCATTTCTGCTTCACAGATGAAGAATCTGGGCACAGAGTGGTCTAGGGCCATGATTTTTGGTCACAGCTGGTTAGAGGCAGGTGGAGGAACTGGAGGCCCAACCTTCCATGAGCCCCTCCATGCACTGGCCTCGGCCAGGATGCAAGAGCTGCACACCGAGCTCAGGGAAGCCCAGAGTCACCTGGGAAATGTGGGTGTGGGCTCTGTATGGATAACTGGTCACCAGAGGTCATGGAAAGGGTATCAGGGAGAAAAATGGTGGTAGAWGGTAAAGGAAGTTCAGAGGAAGAAAGGTGTCACTACTGGAGAAATTATCCTGCCAAAACTCTTAAAATCCTGATAGGATGCCAAGTGAACATGCAGAAAGTTATCAGGGCAGCCAATAACAAATGAGTTCTAACCTGATGCTTAAAACACAAGAAATTTATTCTCTCAAAGTTATGGAGGCTGGACGTCCAAAATCAACGTGGCAGCAAATCATTCTTCCTCTGGAGAATCCTCCTCTGTCTCTTCTCATTCCTGGTGGCTCCTAAAAATCCTTGGTATTCCTTGATTTGTGGGTGAATCATTTTGTTCTGCCTTCACAAGGCCTCTTCTCCCTGTGTGAGTTCTCTTCTTCTGAGAACACAGGTCATTGAATTTAGGACTCACCCTAATCCAGCATGAACTCATCTTAACTAATCATACCTGTAAAATCCCTATTTCTAATTAAGCCCATCTTTAGAGGTCCTGGAAGGAAATCAAATTTGGGGGAACATTACTAAACTCACTGTAAGTGGAATTTATTCTGAGGCTTCTTCCTCATTGATTATTTCTGAGGCTTGGCACATGGAAGTGGTATTAAGAGCCARAGGTCTTGTCAACTCAGTTCTAACTGGATACCTTAAAATACAAGAACTTATTCTCTCATAGTTATGGAGGCTGGACGTGCCCTCCATGGAAAGCATTCTGCTGGGCCTATGGGCCCTGCACTGGGCCCAAATAAAATGGCTTCGGTGGTTCTGTTCCTGGGTTTCTCCCGAGTCCTGTGATGGTCAAGATGAGACCTCAGTCTGTTATGGTGATTCTTTGGCTTTTGTGCTCTTGTATGACTACCTATGGTCTCATTTTTATTAAGCTAGCATCTAGTTGACCCATTTTATACCTCATTCATCACCCTGTGCTAGGTAAAGCCTCTAACCTTTGGCACTTCAGCCTCTTCATCAGCAGAACTGAAACGGGAAGGAAATTAATATGCATTGAGGGTGCACATGCTAAGTTTTTCCTGCATATTGCTTCATTTACCAGAACCATATCCTGAGGTGAATATTACTACAATTAAATTTTTAAAAAAATATTTTCTGAATTGTAGATGGACACGGTATCTTTTTTTTTTTTTTTTAAATCTGGGGATTGAACCCAGTGCCTCATGCATGCTAGGCAAGCCCTCTACCACTAAGCTACAACCCCCTGCCCCTACWATGATCAAATTTTGCAAGAAGAAAAAAGAGACTGAGAAAAGTTAAATACCAAAGTAGTTCAATTAAAAGGTAAAGGAATTGAGATGTGAACTTGGACTGGTCTGTCTGTATAGCCTCTTGCCCTCTCAAGAAAATCAGTGGTATTTACTATACACGTCACACATGGCAAGACCTGAGAGCCCCAGCATCCTTGCCGAAAAGTCAGAGCCCCACRAGCAACGGGAGAGAGAGAAGGAGCCACTGGCACTGTCTCCAAAACTTCTCAATCGAGTGCACCAGCTCTCTGGGATCACTACATGGTCCTGAGTTTAAAAATTTTATATGGGACAACACTACTTTTTAATGTCAATCAAGTGTCTATGGAAATGCAGAATGRTCACATCTAGATCTTAAAATTGAAAAAAAGAAACATTTATCAAGTTGACCAATAGGTACAAACTCGAGGAATAAGTTCATGAGCCCTGATGTGTAGTATGGTGATTATAGTTAACAATCCTATATTGTATACTTTAAATTTGCTGAGGGGGTAGATTGTAAGTATTCTTGCCTGAGGATAAAAGTAACTGTGTGAGGTGATGGTTTGTTAATAAGGTTGATTGTGATAATCATTTCACACTATAGATTACACATACATATATGTATATACCTATATATGCACATACACATCAAAATACATTGTACACCTTGAACAGATATCATTTGGTCAATTATACTTTAGTAAAGCWGAATAAATATATCAAGTAATTCATCTGGAAAGCTCTAAGTAGTCATTTTGCTTAGATTTCAGAAATTTTAAATTAAAAGAAACTAAATTCTTATGAAATTTGATGTGATTGAAAAACTAATGCTTGAAACACTCTATGGTGRTTGTCTTTTTCTGATACTGTGTTTCAGATCTCCATACAGTCTGGACTAAAATAATGATTATATAAGTACTATGATTAGTGATTCTTATTAATTATCAAATACTTATTGTGTATTTTAAGACTATTTCCAAGTACACCTCAAGCAAAACAGCAGGATGACTAACTTTATTAAATACTGAGGAAGTTAGATATTCAGAAAGGTTACAGGATTTGCCTAAAACTACACACCAATGAAAGATAAGAGACAYGATTTGAATTCAAGTGTGTCTGATTTCAAAGTTCATGCCTTTTCTATCAGAAACTAGTATGCCTTTCAACTTCACTAGCTGGAAGTTGGTGTAAATCAACTAATMTGCCTCTAAACTGCACTAATGGTAGTGGGTGTAAATCAACTACCATAAATTTTATCTCCAGCTTGTCCTTACTTSTGTGAGTCAATTTGGGGTGGCAGAAAAGAACTCTCCCTGAATTTAAGATTTTATGCTGAGACATGCTCCAAARTGTATTCCATTTAAACCTACATGTACATAAAGTAGATTTTAGTTCAAAGAAAAATTGATTAACAACAGTTCTAAAAGTAAGAAAGAGGTTCGATACTATTCTGAAATTAATCTATAAATAACTCCTGTAACTCAAATTTGTATYATGTCTCACCATTTTGCAAGTTTCAATTATGTTATTAAAAAAAAAGTTGTTTCCCAAGTTTGGGTGGATTATTGCTACTATCTTGGTATCACAGGATCTTTCTGCAAAATGACTCCAGGAGAATTTCTGGAAGCCATTAGATGTTACAGGCATTTTCATGAATGAGTCCCCTTCACTGTCACTTATGGTACTCCAATAGAAACCTCTTTGGCATTACCTCRTAGAAAAGTTGTCTTAACACTTCCTAAGCATCCTGTTCTTCTGCTCCCCAGGGACCACCATCATTGCATTTGAGCCCTTACACTGCTCTATTTCTTGCAGAATTTGTATAAATGCTCATTTTCATTCTACTGCCTGACTCTATCACCTGGGGATTTAGGCAGTGGTACTAGTGTTTTATGTTACATAAAATGCATGAAGGAAGTMATCTTTCAGCTTATTCCTGCAGTCCATATTTCTCCTCACACCTTTGACTTAGTCTGGAGACTAGAGAACAAACATGCTGTCCACTCCATTCCCTGCACACAGGCACAATGGTGCTGACAGATCCCCTTTTGTTCCATTCTTCAGTTT